TTCATTACCCATAATAGGGGCACTTTATCTCCGCAGGATGTTGAGTCACCGAGGCTATTAGCACCCACCTGCTGAGGGATGCGGCCACACACACATCAAACTACCTGTAAATTTGCTGAAAAACTGGCTAGTGGGATGCCAGCCCCTGCATTCACATGCTTAATACTTAAAAGGAGTGTGCAGTCTAGCGACAATTAATTTATTGCTTAAATTAATAATAACGTTCAAAATTTGTGGGTCCGTAAGATTTTTTTTAAATCAATACTTTCATCCAGCAATGAAGCATTAAACTGGTCAACAGTGACGGTACATTTATAATGTTACAAAAGATTTTCTTTCAAACAAAGGAATTTCTTTTGATCAAATAATTGCAAATCCACATATAAGAAAGGTTCACTGAAGACTGGAGTAATGGCTGCTGAAAATTCAAATAAATTACATTCTAAAATATATGAAAATAGAAAAAAGTCATTTCAAATTGTAAAACTATTTTACAACATAAGTGTTTTGACTGCATTTTTGATCAAATCTAATGGATCCCAAACTTTTGAACAATAGTGTTTCATTTATTTAATAATGTTTAGGTAAAAGTATTAACATTAATTATACTTTAACATTAAGCTCTGACTGATGTAATCTAGCGCTCACATTCCAGTTTAAACTATGCTGAGCTTGAGAAATGATTGAAAAATATGTGCAACAGTAAAGAAAGTCACTGACTGAAATTAGAAGCAATAACAACAGTAATAGCATTAAGAGTAAAGTAACATGACTATGGTGTGCTTGATCTAGAAATGTTTTGATGCGTAAGTGAGAATCACCCAGGATGAGCAGCACAAAACAAAAGCATCAAAAACCCTTCAATGGCCACTTAGGTTTATTTGAAAGTAATTTTTTTTTTTAGATATTGTTTTGAATGTTTTTATAACAATGCAGACAGACTGAAAGAGAAACTAAATCATATTTAAGAAATAAATGTTTGCAGATTTTGAGAAAAATACATATATTTGTGTGTGTATATATATATATATTTGTCTCAACATCTGCAAAGGGTAATTAAATGTAACAAATCATGTGTAAAAGTTTATAATCTTTTGTTGGAAAATGAACTTTAATAAATTGCCTTAATCTTTAAAAACAACTGAGAAGGCAGTGTTCAAACTAGTGATCAAACATTTTTCAAAAATCACCTCTCAATAAATTACATGGATTTCTGCTTCTCGTAAATACTACTGTGTATTTTGTACATTATGTTTTGACAGACATTGATGCAGTGAAATTCAAATGATGTGGATTTGAAAACAGATGAATGGTAAGGTAATAATTATTTATTTCTTAGCCAGTAAATATTCAGTGAAGAGTCCATGAGTGTGTTATGTCGATGTTTTTAGATGTAATATTTCAGCCGACAGCCAGCCTTCATTTTTGACGGATGGGATAATGTGCATGAGTGGTGAGCAATGTTTGATTTCTTAGTTAAGTGAAATACTTTTTGCGTAATTCATTATACCTATAAACAGGATGAAGTTTATTTTGTGGCTTAAATAAATCACGTTTGACCTGTCAAAAATGTTACATTCAGCTGTCGTAAATTAATTGATTTTGAATATCAAGGGTTTTTTTTTTTAAACAGCAAAGTTGTTTTATCGTCTCATCACTTTTTTTTATTCAAACCCATAAAAATGAAGATCTTGTTGTAAATAATAGTGAAAAATCACTGTTTTTCCATTACTGCTCTTTAGCAGATTTTGACTCAAATTACATTTTTGACAGGCGAAGGATTTGTGTAGTCTAGCTAGTGCATGTTTGATTTCACTACAAAATGTCAACTCTAATCGGCACAGATGAAACTCTTAAGAGTATATTCGAGTACCTTGCTCTTATCTGGGCCAGCTCCATCCGATGCTTCGTCAACATCTCTTGTTTTCTGAGGGGCAGCTGTAAAACAATGACATCCATCAACTCACATTTTTGTATAAGGGTGTTTTATAATACAATGAGAATAATAATATTTCACTTTAGGAGACATTTTGCACATATAGACAGACTTACATTAAATGTTTGTCTCTCATGTCTGGGGAAGCCAACGTGGCTAACTTTGACTTTGTTGACGTCACTGGAAGCATCGCTGGCCCCTGAATCATCCAAATCTTGTTTTGTGATGTTCTGCTGTATTTGGCAGGTGGTACCTGTTTCAGTATTAGTCTCAGGCTCATTCTTAATTCGAGCTGCTTTGTTAATAAAGAGAAAATGATTCTCACCGCTGTCCATCACTTGGGTTTCAGTGTCTTTGCTTGGCATCTGATCATGATAAATGTCCACACATGGTGATAAAGATGCTGATTCACCGCACACAGGCATGTCCTCTTCATTCTCCTCGGGCTGTGTATAAACTTCTAGTTTCATATGCATTTCTGTATCTTTCAAGTCAGGTTCAGATCTCCATTCCTCTGAAAATGTCTGGGTGTATTTCTGTCCTTGAGTCTCGGTGGAGCAAGGCTGCGTTTCTATACGAATAAACATAGTAAATAAGCAGACCTAAAGATCATTAGCTGTAAAACAATGTTAGGTGTGTAATGTATATATGACAAGAGTATATTAGCAAAACTAATACGTGTGTAAAAAAAGATGGCATGCTAACGTTAAACCTCAATGAGCTGTAAACTATTTAAAGAGGTGTGACTGATTTAAAGTGCTTAGGTAAACACATTTAAGTCTAAATTATGTATGTTTATGAAAACCATACCATGACACTAATAAGTATTGGTATTTGGCAGGTGGTACCTGTTTCAGTATTAGTCTCAGGCTCATTCTTAATTCGAGCTGCTTTGTTAATAAAGAGAAAATGATTCTCACCGCTGTCCATCACTTGGGTTTCAGTGTCTTTGCTTGGCATCTGATCATGATAAATGTCCACACATGGTGATAAAGATGCTGATTCACCGCACACAGGCATGTCCTCTTCATTCTCCTCGGGCTGTGTATAAACTTCTAGTTTCATATGCATCTCTGTATCTTTCAAGTCATGTTCAGATCTCCATTCCTCTGAAAATGTCTGGGTGTATTTCTGTCCTTGAGTCTCGGTGGAGCAAGGCTGCGTTTCTATACGAATAAACATAGTAAATAAGCAGACCTAAAGATCATAAGCTGTAAAACAATGTTAGGTGTGTAATGTATATATGACAAGAGTATATTAGCAAAACTAATACGTGTGTAAAAAAAGATGGCATGCTAACGTTAAACCTCAATGAGCTGTAAACTATTTAAAGAGGTGTGACTGATTTAAAGTGCTTAGGTAAACACATTTAAGTCTAAATTATGTATGTTTATGAAAACCATACCATGACACTAATAAGTATTGGAATCAGATTTAGGGTGAACTGACTAACCAGAGTCCATCTGAACTCCTGCCTGCTGCAGTCTCCTCTTGAGCAGCTCAATCTCCAGTCTGGAGCGACAAATCTCCTCATTATACTCTGAAAAGATGTCTTCCACAGCCTTAAATATCTCCTGCGCAGCTAATGTTAATCTCTCTGTCAGAAAAACACTTAAAATCTGCAGTTTAGACATTGTGCGTTGATCAAATGTCACTGAAGGGTCTATCCATCTCTTATTTCCACATCCATAACATTTCTCGTCGGTTGTTTTGTCTGCGTTTATCCTGCTGTAGCTCATTAACTATTAGTGCCACCTGCTGGTCTGGATGTGCATCTCTGCTTTGTATATAAATATATAGTCTCTCTCTCTCTATATATACACACACACACACTACTGTTTTCTACATAAAATACATACTTATTTTATATTTCAAAATAAATCTGTTATCAGTGACTAATGGCAAATTACCACTGGTTAATTGATCAATTTATTAGTTTTGCCACAAAAAAAACGATAAAGTGAAAATATCTGACTGTTGAATGATTTGATTTACCAGTCAGAATCAATATTTCCAGAGAGCTGTAAAATAATGTTTTCCTTTAATGACTGTTCATCTTTGTTAAAAAGCCCTTTTGGTCCATTACAAACTAGAATTGGTAACTCAGTGGACATCTCGCTACCAGACCATGTCGTTCCAAGAATTTAAGATTTGAGGAACAAATACACGCCAAATAATCTCTCTCTCTTTCTGTCTCTCCTCAGCAAACCAACTCACACCCTTCGCCTTCAAAATAACATCTCACATCAATTTATTCTTCCTTTGCTTTCTGTTACCATGGAAACATGAATGTAATAGTATCTCTTATAACACATTTATGGTAGTTGTTATGAAAAATAGGAACCTAAACACATTGAACCTATAATGACTGTAATAAAAAGGGATTGTCTTATTTCTCCTATATATTATTTACCATCTAAAAAAATTCCACCAAAATACCATTATCATTAGTTTGTGTTACTGTACTGAAGCCATGGCAAAACATTGTAATAAGGGCCTTTAGACTTTGATGGCAACCAAATCACCTAAGCTATTCTTCCAACAGTCTTTACAAAAAGGTTTATAAAGCATTTTTATAATATCACCTGAAAGGATCAAATATTAGCCTTCAATTCTGACACTTAAATAATAATTTATGCCATGTCAGATGAGGAAAAAATGTAAAATTCCACATGCAGATAGGAGTTTCTGGAGTATGTGCTGTGTTTATAGTACTGCTCTCAGGTTTATAGTACTGGCAGTAGATAGTGAAGAATGTCCTTTTTTATTTCTGAGAATAATTTTTCAAAATATAATATTATTATAATTCATAAAAAGCCTCTAGGACTTTACTATAATTGGCCAGAATAAAATCCAGCATCAATTGTGAGCACAACTAATGCATGTTATTTCTGACAGATATATTTTATAAAATGTAAATTAAATGTACATTTCAATTAATTTTACTTCAATTACACCACACTAGAGAAAGGGGTAGAAATATAGGTATAAATATTATTTTTTATTGTCTTGTATTATTAATGTTTTAAACTTATCTTCATCAACAGAAGAGTTTACAGGTCCATGAAATATGTGGACTGGATCCACTAGTTCAACATCATAAGTCTTGGGCCAGGAAAAAAAACTGCTGACTCCATGTGGCTCCAGAAACTTCATTCGGAGTCCTTCGTCAGAGACATCAAGAACTTCTACCACTTGGTTTCAAGCATCACTTGGTTGGGTGGGTTTACAGGACAGCATAATCCCTGAGAATTTCTATCTGCAAATCCTGAAATTACACAATAATAAATACCACTTTACCAAGAGCCATCATTTTTTTTAAAGCTGGGCGCCATTCCAATAAAATTCACAAATTCCCAGCCCATTGTCTTCCAAAGATATAACAGCACAATTAAAAGTGATCCCTGGCCCCGTTTTCATAATGCTTGCTTCATGTTAAGTTCACCTTAAGTTAAAATTACTTCTGCAGCTTTATCTAAGTCTTAAAGTTGCAGTCAGTAAAGTTTTGCCTCTTTGTCGCCACCTCTGTTTGAAAACCTGCAATTGCAGCTGTGTGTGGAATTATCTACCTTGCGTGGGTTGTGCAGTGGCACGGCTCCAGCGTGGATGAATCTAATATTTTGAGGAGTATGTGTGGCACTCAGTCACCGCACCGGTGTGGATATTGTACTTTGCACTCACAGATTCTAGGCTACGTCTTGGAATATACCACTCGAATAAGAATTTTCACCAGATATTGTCACAGTATAGAATTTTATAGCCTTATATTTTTAACCTGAAATCAGATCTTGTACAAATACAATAAAAATATGGAAAAGGAAAGTATCAAGAGTACATTGTATGTTCAAGTTGGAACCATTATGGAGCCCTTACCTGAGTTAAGTTTCATCTAGAGACCTTTTTGTTTATTAGGAAGTTGGTTGTCTTCACTTAGAGTAGAATTATGAAGTAAGGTGTTCTTTTCTTCAGTCACAGGCCAGTATAAATCAACTATTTTAGCATCCAAGTTCAAGGCATGTCGTTGCCAAGGAAGGACATAATTCGAGTTGGAACACTGGCTTCCATCTTCAACATTCATACACCCACCACAGTAACATTAATACAGGCGAGTATACAGGACCCCAAGAGAAACACACCATACAGAATGGAGTAAACGAGTTTCATGCTGAATTTCACCTAGTTTAACCAGGTTTGTAAGGAAGTTCTTGTAATACTTTAGGATAACGATTATGATTATGATTACGATTACAAGCAGTGAGAATTCTGTTCAGGCTCTAAAGCTTCAGTAAAACTCCAGTACAATATTCACAGCGACAAGACAACAAGTCCATCCAATGCTGATGAAGAACATATGAAGGTCGAAGCTATGAGAAAGTAGGAAAGGGTGCGACATTATTTTCTTGATTTTCCAGCTTCCAGACTTCATAGGCCTTCTGTAGAGAGATCTTCATGAGGAATCTTTGTTGCTGTTTCTTTATGTAAGGAAGTTATTGTGATACCTTAGGATTCAATAGAAAGTAACTATATTGTTCACAGCATCCATGCAAGTGATATCAGACCTTCGTTTTTTACGTAAACTTTCATTGGATGAGGACTTTGATAATTTAGTGAGATATGCTGGACAAAGATTAAAGCGTCTTTGCTAAAATGTGTTGCATTCTGTACTTTTTGGCAACCAACAAACTAGTGACAATCAGGCTCTGCTTCTTCAAGGATGCAGTATCCTTCTATAGAGCTTCAAATGTGGATTGAAGTTCTTTTTGAAGCGGGCCATCGAAATCTATTCATCGTCAAGCTTTTTTCAGACCTCTAGCTTTCAAAGCTGCTTGTTTATGAGGAGCACAGCAATGGATGAAGTCTGTTACAATGTCCAACTTTTCTGCATCAGCCGGAATTTTTTCCCTCATCCGTAACACTGCCATTCGTTTTGCAGACTTAGATCCAGCTGTACGATTTAGAGCCAAAATTTGTATGTGGAGTGTCAGTAAGATTTGTCTTGTTTCTTTTTTCCCTCTTTCGCGATGCATCTCTTTCACGAATTTGTCTTTTTTTCTCTGCTCCCATCCTCTCTCTCTCTTCTCTTTTTTTTATCCTATCATACTCTCGTTTCTTCATCCTCTCTTCTTCTGTTAAGGCTTTTGTTTTTTTAGGTGGCAGAGGGTTATCATCAGCTTTGCACTGATGTAACTTCTTTTTGGTTCTGAATCTTCGCTGTCGCTCACGGTTATTATCCTTATCAATTTCTACAGCAGCAGCAGTCCTCTTTCTTCTATACTCTCTTGCTCTTGCAGCTTCAAAAGCTTTGAACTCAGCAAATTTTACAGGGTCTTTTTTCAAATGATCCCTCCAGGCCTGACTGTATCTTGCATTTTCGGGTTTCTGCTCGTCAGATTTTGACACTTCATCCTGACAGACAGATGGTTGACTTTTCTTACTTTTACACTCAGAGTGACAGGACTGGATTTTCAAAGACATTCTGAAACAAAATTATATATTATATTATATATATCATATCACAGACAATTTGGATGAACACAGGGATTCATCTCAAGATCATTCATTACATAACAGTCCATCTACTGCTAAAATTATGAGAAGAAAAAGAATAGAATTATTAATTCAAATCAAGAATGTTAGAATCAGAACGTGAATGCATCGTTTGTGCATAAAAAAAACTGTCAAAACTGCAAAGTTTTTTAATTGGATTGGCATTTATTCTCTTTAGCATGCAGTGTGAAGTACTTCAAGTGAAGAACAAATTTATACATAACATGTGTTATGTATTAGATACATTATCATCTCTGACAGATAACATATTGAAACAACTCAGGCCGCCATTTTCTCCTTCTTTTCAGAAAGCGATGACAGTCAAAACATCCAGTAATGTGGGTTTTCAAGGAAATCCACGTTCTCTCTGGACCTCTGCTTCTCATAAATACTACTGTGTATTTTGCATGTTATTTTTTGACAGACATCGATGTACTGATTTTTAAATCATGTGAATTTGAAAACAGATGAATGATAAGGTAATAATTATTTTTAGACTCAAGTATTCAGTGAAGAGATTGATGCCCATGAGAGTGTTATGTTGATGTTTTAAGTTTTAATATTCCAACCAGCAGCCAGCCTAAGTTTTTGACAGACATGAAATCATACATGAACTATGTTTGATTATAAAAAGTGCCAGAGACATTTGAAATGCTTTTGCAAAGTTAATTATGCTTATTCTATGGAATTAAGTTTATTTTGTAGCTTAAATACAAATAAAAGAAGAAAAAAAACATGTTACTTAGAGATGTTGTGTTATGTTTAGCTTGTAAAAACATGCTACATTCAGCTGATGTACATTGGTTGACTTTAAAATTCAAGCTAATTTTTTTAGTTATTTATTGATTTATTTTTACCAAGAAAGGAGTGGTTTTGATGCACAAAGTTGTTTTCATTGTATCTTATAACAAAAATATTTTATTTAAACCAATGAAGATGCAGATCTTGTTGTAAAAAAATAGTGAAAAATCCCTTTTTTTTTTTTAACTGTTGTTCCATTATTACCCCTTAGCAGATTTTGTCTTAACTACAACATTTCAACTCAAATAGGCACAGATGAAAAGTAAAAAATGAATTGAAGTACCTCTCTCTTATCTGGGCCAGCTCCATCCAATGCTGCGTCAACATCTCTTGATTTCTGAGGGGCAGCTGTAAAGCAATGACATCTCACATTTAAGGATAAAAGTGTCTTATAATTCAACAAAAATAGTAATACTTCACTTTAAAAGACATTTATTTTGCACATATCGACAGACTTACATTAAATGTTTGTCTCTCATGTCTGGGGAAGCCAACGTGGCTAACTTTGACTTTGTTGACGTCACTGGAAGCATCGCTGGCCCCTGAATCATCCAAATCTTGTTTTGTGATGTTCTGCTGTATTTGGCAGGTGGTACCTGTTTCAGTATTAGTCTCAGGCTCATTCTTAATTCGAGCTGCTTTGTTAATAAAGAGAAAATGATTCTCACCGCTGTCCATCACTTGGGTTTCAGTGTCTTTGCTTGGCATCTGATCATGATAAATGTCCACACATGGTGATAAAGATGCTGATTCACCGCACACAGGCATGTCCTCTTCATTCTCCTCCTCCTTTGTACAAATATCTAGGATCATATGCATTGCAGTATCCTTCAAGTCATGTTCAGATCTCCATTCCTCTGAAAATGTCTGGGTGTATTTCTGTCCTTGAGTCTCAGTGGAGCAAAGCTGTGTTACTACATAAATAAACAAACATTCAGTTCTTAAAGATTATAAGTGGTGGGTGTCAGGTGTATATATATATGAAAAACGTAAATTAGTAAAACTGTACGTGGTGAATAACAAAGACCACTGCATAATAAAAAAAAATGGCAAAGTGTTGTTCTTCATTGGCTCTTTTGGCATGATCTAAACATCTCATTGATCTAATATTAACACTTTTTAAAGGGCTGTGGTAAAAGCATTTAAGTCTTAATTATTTATGTTTATGAAAACCATACCATGACACTAATAAGTATTGGAATCAGATTTAGGGTGAACTGACTAACCAGAGTCCATCTGAACTCCTGCCTGCTGCAGTCTCCTCTTGAGCAGCTCAATCTCCAGTCTGGAGCGACAAATCTCCTCATTATACTCTGAAAAGATGTCTTCCACAGCCTTAAATATCTCCTGCGCAGCTAATGTTAATCTCTCTGTCAGAAAAACACTTAAAATCTGCAGTTTAGACATTGTGCGTTGATCAAATGTCACTGAAGGGTCTATCCATCTCTTATTTCCACATCCATAACAAAGGTATTTCTCGTCTGTCGTTTTGTCTGCGTTCATCCTGCTGTAGCTTGTTAATAATCAGCGCCACCTGCTGGTCTGGATGTGCGCTGAACAAATGAACAGTTAAAGAGTCCTTTGGTCCATTACAAACTATAAATCAAAATCTTTAGATAACACACTGGACATCTGCCTACCAGACCATATGATTTTGATTCAAGAGTTCAAGGTTTGAGGAACAAATACATACGCGGCATAATCTCTCTCTCCCCCCAAAACAACAACTCGTATCCTTTTTTCTTCCTCTCCCAGTCACTTTCTGTTATCATGAAAACATGAATGTAATAGGATATCTAATAATACATTTATGGTTTGAATGGAAATAGCAATCTAAACATATTTAGGCAGTATAATGACTTTTCCATCATACTTTCCATAGAAAAACATTTCCACCAAAATACCATCATTACAGTTCGTGTTAGCCTACTGTACTAAATTTTAAGAAGGGCCATTAGATTTAGATGACAACCAAATCAAACGAGCTTTTCTTTCAACCGTCTTTAGAAACAGGCTTATAAAACCTTTTTTAAAAAATCACCTAAAAGGAGTTCAAATATTAGAAATTGCCTAGATACTCTAAAATATTGACACTTGAATAACAAGAATTTATGCCACGTCAGGGGAGAAAAATTGTACAATTGCACATGCACTCAAACACACAGGAGTTCCTGGAGTGTGTGTGCAGTTGAGAGCAGGTTTATAGTGCAGTGGATGGTGAAGAATAAGTCATTGTTTGACAGGGCCAGCTGTCCGCTCCACTCTTCCTCACGACAGGCCTTGCCTAGCCACCTGCCTACTATTCTCCAACTATGGTCACAAACTCTCTCTTCAGACCACCTCAGATTAGTGCCAAACACATTACTTTATTGCTAATTGCCATTTTGTATTGTTCAGTAAAAAAAAAAAAAGTAGCCAGTTGCTCTTGAATATCATGACAAAGAATATGCACTACCGTTCATAAATTTGACGTCAATACAGTTTATTTTTTATATATTTTATTATACTTTTATTTGTATTTTATATTTTTTTAAACAAATGAATACTTTTATTCAGCCAGGATGCATTAAATTGATCAAAAGTGACAGTACAGTCTGTCTCAAATCCTGAAAAAATTGTCACAGTTTCACAAATTGTCACTTGAGCACCAAATCAGCATTTTAGAATGATTTCTGAAGGATCATATGACACTGAAGCCTGGAGTAATGGCTGCTGAAAAATCATATTTGTGAAGTAAGCAAGTAAACAAATAAATAAACAGATATTTTGAATAGTATTACTGTTTTTACTGTGCAGCCTTGTTGAGCATGATACTTTTTAAAAACAAAATTTAGAAGGTTGTGTGTGTGTGAGAGATGAGCACATTTCGTTTAATAAATAAATAAAAACATGCTAAACATTTTTTAAATCATCTGCACATTTTAATCTACTGTACGAAAGAACATAAAATACTCAAATTTCTTAGAATGTATCATGAAAAAATATCAGTGGGTTGTTTTCAATTATGGGTTGCATCAGCATTGCAAATCAGTCAGAACTCTTTGGGTTATTTAAAACACAATGATCCAAGCAAGATTGGAAAAAAACAGCTTAGTGTCTGAGCAGTGACACATCAGATGCCACTGTGCTGGCACGAACATGCCACAGACAAGTCAGCACAACTACTACATAACTGTCATTCTGTGTCATCCCAACGCCCTACAAAAACTCTCTGCAGCATGCCATTCTATACTGGCGACTCGTAAAACTCGGTTCTGTCAAAAACAAGCCTTCATGCTTTGAAACAATGAGTATGAAGGTTGTGTTATGATTTTGTAGGAAGCTGCCTTGACTGGAACCTGTCTTTGTTCATCAAGTTATTGAAGCCAGGGATATGCCTGGTATCTGTGTCACTTTCCTAGATTTGCATTCCAGTGACTGGGATGTTTACACTAGATTCTGTTTATGTCTCTTCAAGTAAGAGTAACCGTATCTGCATCATGGGCATTCTCACCCCGTCTTCAATGTTGTCTAACTATTTGGTCTCTCCAGAAACCAGAGTGCTAAATTTGTGCTCCTGATGACATGGGAGAAGGTCACTGGAGCCCAGAGTCAGATATAAACAATGAGGGACGAACAGAGAAGCTTGTAGACCATATTTTTACTCACCGATAAAGCCTGGGACGAGGCTCAACTTTCCTTAACGTCCCAACTGGAATCCAGACATGGAAGACAAACAAAATTAGGACCATTGCCGGCATAGTTTCCACAGAAAACATTTGAATACGGTCCCACCCCGGCCCCACCTTTTCAAACGAATGTCATATGCAAATAATTATCACAAATGTTTATATAAAAAAGCGTCTTGATTTCTATGCATTCATCTATGGAATGATCGCCGTTAACTGCTGAGAATGAAAAATATCCTCCGATATACTGGAATGAGGACGATGCATGTCTTTGAAATCTATATTTCAAATTCCAAAGACTAATAGTAGCTTCATTCACTGTAGAGAAAAGTATTTAAAGGATGCTATTCCTGGATGTTCATGGCATTGAGGCATCAGTGTAGGTCTGTGGGTGACAATCAAATGGAATTCAGCTGGAACACACACCCTGTTATGTGGAAAACACAGAATAGACATCCAAACTTGATCTTGACCGGCACTGCAAACGATTCATAGGGAGGTCAAAGGTGGTCCATTTTTAGCATTAATTGCCCTACACTATGAGAAAATGCAGAGCTCTTTTTTCCATAAAGTCTCTTGAAGGGAATTGTAGAGTGTTACAGGGTTTAATGGGTTTGTCAGCTGTTCTATGATGCTCTTGTCAAGAGGTGTTTCCACCAGCTTCCTACATGGACAGTCGCCATGATGGTGCTCTTAGAAAGTGATGTATCGTTAACGGATTGTCTGGTCTATTTAAATGACCCATGAGGGGCTGCAGTAACATTGCCACAGTTTAAGAAGAAGATTAATAGTTTGCCATATGACTTTGGTACTGTTGTAGAATAAGCTACATGCTAATTTGACACAGTATGGCTTATGGAAATAATTTATCTCTAAATGAGCTGAACGAAAGGATGACATTTCTGATGTTACAAAAAATGAAAGGAATTACCTGTAAATATATTAGTTTCCATTAGGACATAACACACACTACAGTTCAAATTTAATATTATACAGTTCAAAGTCAAACTTATAATCAGCAAGAAAGCATTACATTCAAATTCTAAAAAAGTTTCACAGTTTCCACAAAAATATTCCTGCACAACTGTTTTCAACATTGACAATATTAAGTAATATTTCTTGAGTACCAAATCAGCACACAATATAGCCTATTTAAATAAATTGTAGTTATTTTAAATGGTAATTATATTTTAGATTATGACTGTAATAATATTTTAGAATATTACTGTATTTATAGTTTTAATCAAATAAATGCAGCCCTGGTGAATATACGACGATTGCAAAATGAATCACTTTTTCAATTCCGAGGCGTTGAGAATCGAGAGTCGAATCCAAAGTGTAGTCGACTTATCTGAAAGGCCAGATGTGTCCGGGTATCACATGACTTTACCCATTACATCGAACAGAGAACACAGGCAGAAGGCTAAATGATCGTAACACACTTGACTATATGACTCGTGTATTTGAAAAAGAGGTAAAGTCAACACATATTTAAATCTGAAAACAAGGTGGCGACAAAGTTTATTCATTTCAGACTAGTGATGCAAAGTCAGATTCATTTCCGCGAACCGGTTCTTTTCGGACAGTTTGACTCATTGAACCGGTTCAAAAAGCCGATTAATCGGTTCCTGGAGTTATCAAGCAATGATGTCACTATGCAGAACAACTTAAAAAAAAAAAGTTATTTGTTTGCTGATTATTGCCTTTCATTCACTTAAAGCTGCAGTCCGTAAGTTTTGCCTCTTTGTCGCCATCTCTGTTTGAAAACCTGCAATTGCAGCTGTGTGCGGAATTATCTTCCGTGCGTGGGTTGTGCGGCTGCACGGCTCCAGCGCAGATGAATCTAATATTTTGAAGTGAATGTGTGGCAGTCAGTCACCGCACCGGTGTGGATATTTAATGTACTTTACAATCACAGATTCTAGCCTACTTCTTGGAATATATGATCCAGATAATACATTTCACCATATATTGTCATCTGAACAAGTAAGTAACAAGTCTGCCACGTTTGTTCTGACCAACTGAGGAAAAAATCATTACAATAAATCGCGCTACCAATGGTGATTTAATTTAAAGATCGGTTAGCTCATATCACATCAAACCGTGCAAATTATTGTTATACTTTATTTTCAAATTATTAATGTTAACAACATCAGCATTGCGTGACTATGACTCAAATATTGATTTCGGGTCATTTTTAGTGAAGGACTGCAGCTTTAAGTTCATGATGTTTGTGGTCACAGTTTCATTCGCAAATCCTTTATTTCAGATACGACTGACCAATATTGACTAGCCTACAACTTGGATAAGATTCCCAAAAGTTTCGCACCTACAGCACACATTACAGACATCGAGGCACAAACGCAGATATGTTCTAAAGTATAAAGAAAGAATAAACCAGTCTTATAAACTCCTTGATTTTGCTTAAACAACTTAAAATAATATAGCCTTATCTGCATGCACAATAAACTACAGTAAAATTGATTTAGCCTACATCTCTCGACAGAAAGGTTTTTGCAGGTTTCAGTGATATGTTAATAACAGCAGTTATAAGCATGTTTCCAGTTGTGCCTCAGGCTTGCACAGTATCGTCAACTCAATTATCAGAATCCTCGGCAAACTTCGACAGTTGGCTGAGTACCCTTAAAGGGATTTTGGCTGAACCGGCTCATTCGGTTCTTTTTGAGTCGAATGTGCTACTTGTGCGTCCTGCTTCATCAACCCAGAACTAAAGTTCGATTCCGTTCAGTTTTGTGAGCCAACTTGACTGATTACTTCCTGAGAACCGGCTCAAAAGAATGATTCGTTCAAGAATCGAGCATCACTATTTCAGACCTTCTCAA